CTGAACACCTTCAGTTATGACTACTGATGCTATTTCCCTCTCAAAGTATCTCTTCAACAGATTGGCATGGTAGATCTTTGTCTTTCCACCCACTTTCACTTTATAATACATTCTTTTGACCACTTCCTGCACCTCAAAAGGTCCATTCCACTGCAAAGTGAGTTTGTTGTTGTTTGTGGGTAGCAGAACTAAAACCTTCTGTCAAACCTTGAAATGTTGACCCTTGGCCTTCTTGTTACAGAAATATTTCTGACTGCCTTTGATGAGTTTGGCTTCCCCAGTAGAACTGCTTTGATAGGTATGGTTCAATACTCATTTCTGGTTCTTTGTTTTGTAAGTCTATTTTCTTTGTCTTGTGCTTGACTTTCTGTCAGGCACGGTCCCAAAGTTTCTGCAATGATGGGTTTTTCTTCTGCACTTTCTTCAGTTCCTGTAGACCTATATTCGGGATGTCACTTTTTGATACTTGCAAGGGCTTGATAACTTACTTGCTCTTCTTCCTTTGATCTCTTGTAGTGACTGCAGATGCTCCATCCATCTTCTTTCTGTTTGGTTTCTCCAAATTCCTACTACCTGGAATATTTCCAATCACCAAGTTGTATATTGGTTCCTTCATACACATGGCTTCAAGGTCTCCTACATAGTATGGAGTATCCACCTTTATTTTTGCCATGGGAAACTTTCTGACTGTCCCATCAATTAGCATATACAGGCATACCTTGCCTGTCATCTGGTCATCAGATACTAGACTGGTTCTCACTGCTGCACTACTGCACCCAGTGTATCGTAGAACCTTCACTTTCTTGTGTCCAACATAGCCTTCACCTACTGGCATGTTATAATTTGTTTGCACCTCTTGATATTTATAACATGCTCCAATCACTCCTGGCACTGTTGATTCCTTTGCTAACTTGAGCTGACCATTAGTTGTGCATTGATCAATTATGGAAATGGCACTTCCTTCTTGTGGTGAATCTGGCGTATTTTCTTGATTCTGTTTCTTCTGGCAGCAGCATCTATGGTGACAGTCACTCTTCTTGTTTCTCCCCAGCTCCAGCTACTTTATGTTGATATTTCTGCTGTTACTTGTTAGAGATGGGCTTGCACTCCTTTGCAATGTGCTCTAATTTATAAGAAATATAGCATCTCTTCTCCCATTTGTCTGTTAACCTCCTGTCACCTTTGGTTGACTCATACTTCTGGTCAGCCACCACTGGATTTGACTTTTAACTGATTATTCTTAGACTTGCCAGTTATACTCCCTCCATGGGCTTTCATATACTGTTCTGCCAACTTGATCATCTCGTCCACATATTTTGGTGTTCTCTCCTTTAGGAACAGTAACATGTCAGTTGAGCATGTGATCCTGAACTATTCACACATATTAGTCGATCTGCCAGTCCCTCAATACTATTTTAACATTTGGCCATATCAGTCTATCTTGTGAAGTACTGCTGTAGATGTGCCACAAACTAAAATACAATTTCTCCAGTTTCAGGTTTGACTTATCTGAACTTCTGACGAAAACCTTCTTCGGTAAGTTCATAACATTTCAGCAAGGCCACTTTTAACTTGTCGTCCATGGCATCTTCTGACGTCTTTCTGTTCATGAAATTTGGGCAGCTTGGGTCGGCTGGCCCTGACCCCATTATCATTCTTGAGTCCTCCTCCTTTCAGTTGGGTGAGCCTGGTGATCTCAACTTTATGCTCTTATTCTTTCTATTTCCAGTCTGTCCTCTCTCTCCTTTTCTTTTCTTCTTTCTCAATTTGTATTCTTATTCTTTCTCTCTCTTTTCTGCCTATGCTCTTCTCTCTGTAGTTCTTGTTTAAAAAACTCTTCTAGTTTACTATCTTTTAACCCAAGACACTCACTTCTGTAATGGACAGCACCCTTAAAGCTAGTCATTTGAGCTTCGACTGTACTGCTGATTACACCAAATTTATTTAGTTGAGGATTGCAGTGGCGAGTGGGGCTCACAAGTCGCTAACTCAAAGAGATTTACATTTAGACTAAAGAAACTGATCCTGAGACTGATATTCAACACAATACATCAAGTTTATTTAATACATTTAAGTTTCTTAACATAAAATACACTTCTTTAATCATTTATTAACTTTTCATAAAATAACACGTTTGGGTTAACAACACTAATAATTATAACTCATATATAACATCAAGTTTCTTAGTTTTATATGCTTCTTTAGAATCTATCCAAATTCACATTAATTGATTAAGAGAGAAATAGTTTCATTACTTACAACATAGTTGATCTGGTGAGAAACTTTCATAGCTTCTGGATTATCAGTAATTCTGGGGAGAATCTCAATTCTTCCTGGAGAGAACTCTGATTTTTAGCTCCAGACAACAGTTTTTTAAACCATATCTTCTTTGTATTCTTTTGACTTTCCAAATAACATTTTTAGCTACCTGCAAGTAGTTCTAACACTTTATTGGTCATTCTGTTCAACTTCCTGGGCTAATCCAAAACAAGAACCAAAAACTCTCAAGTAATTAGTTACTGTGATGGTGAGTGCTTCGGTTGCATTTTTACTTGTACTATTACACTGGTCTGAAGTAACAGATCTCGCATCAAAGTGCTGATTTGAGATGTTATCATCAACTTTTTAGTAACCTTTACTGTACTACTAACTTGGCTTCAGTAACTTATCACTGCCAAACTTATGGCTAGCATTTTTCTCAACATCTCTGTTGTAGCTTTATTTTTTATAACTCTTAACTCGTGATTCTCAATACCACTTAACCAGCTAGCTGTACTTTCCTAGCTCTTGACCTTATTTCGTAACACAGGTGTCTTTTACTTATGCCATTTCTTCGTGTATGTGTTCACTTAAAAACTCAGAAAATAATTATAACTTCTTTCTTAAACTCTTTTAAATGCTAAAAATACTAAACCAATTGTGAAATTCCCTCAAAAATATCCAATTGCTTTACTTCTTTCAATCTACTTATCAAAACTTTATCTGACTTAATTTTGAGCTCACTTGGTCACCTATTTATATGCATTGCCCAACTGAGGCCTAAAACTTTCTACAAACCACGAGATACTATGATATAACAATACTCACTTAAAGCAATAACAAAATTATAGAAGAATCGAGTAATGTGATGTCAAATTACAACAATTGAACTACACACACAACATACAACTCTTACCGAGTTACTTAATAAAATTTGTCATAACTATTGCCTTTAAAATAATTAACTTTTAACACTCATGTTAGGAAAACTAAATAATCATTAAATATTAGATCACTAAATAATAACTCTTACACTAAACATTCTTGTATATCAAACAAAAGTTAAGGCCTTGGTAAAATCTGGAAACTTCCTTTATCACATAGAAAACTAGATTATATATAAATACCAGACTGATTGGGTTAGTTCAGTTAATAAGTCCAATATCAGTTAACTTATAAGTTATTCAGTTCAGTGTCTGTTAGTGAGTTAGACAGTGAATGATATTGTACCTATTTGTCTGAAATTCGGTTGGTCAGTGTGTTTTAATATAATGATTAGTGAGGAAACTGCAAATAAGTTTATAAGTAAGTTAGGTGTACATTAATTTTGGATCTTCTATTGAAAGGTTATTTGTAACATTAGGGCTATGAATGGATGTATCCTGTAGGAAACATTATTTGTAAAGTTAGGCCTATGAGTGAATGTAACCTATAAGAAACATTATTGAAGAAATCCGTCACACAAAATCTTTGGACTCTACAATTTGTTGGGGTGTGATGAGTTACTTCACTAGTTTGAAAATGTGGTATTCAATAGCAAAATCAGCTTCTTTGTTTTGTATGGGAGTTACCAATGACAGTTTTGAAGGGTACTAACAATTCTCACAATTCCTTATAAAATAAAGTTGGTAACCTTCAGTGTCTGTTTATTGCTTCTACAACCCAATACACTTTTGAAAGATTGGATTGCTTTGTAGGATGCTGGTTATACCTCTTTTGCAGAATGAATGCCATCTGGATAACTGTTATTGGTTTCACTGTCATCTGGAGGAGGAATTATCATACACGCAACATTAGGAAGAATAGTAGTGTTGATATCGTTCAGTACAAATAACACCAACTTTGCTGGATGTTTACTCTTCTTTGAAGGTATATTCTCAGCTAACCATTTTTTTGGTCCTGATAGGTGACTTAATAATTTATCTCTTCCTATGGCATACAAGACATGTATACCTTTGGCATGACTAAATGATATGTAACTAATATTATATCAGTATGAACTATATACGTGATTTAGTAGGCAATGCTCTAAAACATTAATGTTCTCTAACTACAAAAAATATTTACATTTCATTGGCTAAAGTAGTTTATAATGTGTTACTATGCAACTGGCACTACACAGTAAGTTACATTTTCATTGGCTGTTACCTAGGGTGTACATTAGTATAAGAAAATAAATAGTTTAAAAATTCTGAAATATAACAAAAGTGGATCTTGATACTTGTGCATAGTTTTTAAGACAAAATAGCAAGAACCAACTTTTAGCATCTTGAAGTTGATTGAAGATGGTGCTTACTTAAAAATGAATTAAAAGTAGGAAAAATTATTTTTAAACTGAGCACAACTGCAGTTATATATATATATATTTCAGTATAAATGGAAATAATAAGATTGTCATAGTAGACAAATTCCTTTCTGAAAATGTCTTACTTTGGTTCCAATATAGATAAAACAACTTCCACAATAAAATATATTATTGGCCATTACTTGTAGACAAAATTCCAATTTTATAGCTCCTTGTCTTTTTTTTTTATTAAAATTGAGAAGGTAGTTGAAATACTATAGGTAGAGTTTGTAATTTTAGAACAATATTAAAAATTTAGGTTTTTACAGAATATTAAATATGGAACAAGTTATTTTGAGTAACTTGAAACAATGTGCATTTTATGTAAGGTATGTTGAATAAATAATATAATGCCTTAATTATGGAAAAAATAGCAATTACTTGATTTGTCTCACAGGCTCTGTTTCTTTGTTTACTTGGCCCTTTTACATTCTTCAATGTGCAGAAAACAAAATATCTGCAGATGTTGACAACAGTCATGAGGTGGTTAGGTAAGAAATATTTTGAAACATTTAAAAGGTAAACAATATATAATTATGTTACAAAATTAAATAACAAACAAGTTTGCACATTCAGGGAGCTTCTGTAAAACCTAAAGATTTTAGACTGACATTGAAAAGTCAGGATTTCTTTAAAAAATGGATTTATTATTCAAAAAAGAAATAATATATTAACGTACATTTAAAAATATTGCATAAGTTTAAAGTTTTATAAGATGGACAAGACATTTAATCATACTTTATACCAAAAGTACTTAGTCATTTGGAGGAATATTAAAATAATCAGTAGACTACCACAAAACTATGGTACATTTTTAGTGATATTTTTCATGTAATAATATTTATTTTTAATTATGTAGGTCTTTTGTTGGCTTATGTTCATTCTATTTCAGCTTTCACCATCATGATAGTCCTGACATCCATAGCTTTAGCTAAGGGGAAAGGTCGGGGTACACCCCCTGTGGCTGACATTAAGGGAGTGCCCAACTTGTTTGGTGTCTGCGTATATTCTTTCATGTGTCATCATTCTCTACCATCCCTGATCACTCCCATCCGAAATAAGGACCGTCTCTTTTCATTGCTTTTTGCTGACTACCTACTTATTTTGTGTTTTTACTCGCTGCTTTCTTTCACTGGAATCTTCACTTTTGAAAACCTCCAGGATGTGTATACTCTTAACTTTGAGCCACAAAAGTGTGGTGACAGTGACACTGTTGTTTCATCAGTGCCTTTTCTTCAGTATTTTTTAGCCTTGTTCCCTGTATTTACCTTGAGCACCAATTTTCCTATTATTGCTATCACTCTGAGGAACAACTTGAAGTCACTGTTTCTGAAGGACAGCAAAAAGTATTCAATCTTTTTGGAACGCATTTTGTTCCCAGTAATTACAGTTATTCCACCTGTTGCCATTGCATTTGCAACAGAAAGCCTTGAGATCTTAGTGGGGATTACAGGGTCATATGCTGGAGCTGTTATTCAGTATGTTGTTCCAGCCTTGTTAGTTTACTATGCACGTAAAGATTCACTCACCTCTATAGGCTTAGGAGTGAAAAAACAACATTCCTCACCCTTCCATCATATTGGCTGGATTGTCTTTGTTTGTGCATGGGCATTAGCTTGTGTTATATTTGTAACTGTGGACCATGTAACTAGTTTGTAGGATTTTGACAGCTGTGCTTGTATTAGACAATTATTTTTAGAATTTTAAATATCTGTACAATTGTCTATAAAGTTACCAGTGCAAAAGATGCAATCTAGGAAGATGATTTAGTGTAATTTTGATATAAGACAAAAATTATATAATTTTGTAGAACTATTATGCTTTCTAAATATCTGGTAAATTCTCTATAACTTGAATATTTAAACTAGTTTTAAGAAATCAAGAAAAAAGTTTATCTTGATCAAATCTAATTAATAGGATTTAAGTTGTATTTAGTTTACTATTTGCTCACCCATAATATATAGTTCTGTGAATAAAACTTTTAAAACTAACGAGTTTCTATACAACTACACCATGCTTTGTATGATTTTAAATATTATTTTTTTTCACTGGGGGGAAAATTATACCTGAGCAGTCATTTGAAAGATGATCAACTTTTCTTTGTACATATTTCTGTTATAACTATTAAAGAGTGATATATATTCCTGATTACTGAAGGTACACATAGTATTACATGCTTCTAGTATTTTTTTCAATAGATCTGCAACTTCTAACAACGTACCAAATTTTTTTTAACATTTCCTTTTTTTTTAATCGACAATTAAACCCGAGATTTTGTTTTTGTAAAGACAATGTACATGTGTACGATAAAATAATTTTTTGTACAAAAATACACTCCAAAGGTCAGACAAAAAAAGGTAAAACAAGTAGGGCATGGTACTGCAATTTTTTTGACATACCAGTATATAGCATGAAATTAAAAAGGTTAATACCAGTGTTTTGTACAGTTATTATTATGCCATTTGCCTTTACTCGATGCAACAACAGTAGGTTTGTTGTACTTTATGCCTTCTCATGTTAGAGCAGTATATTATGTTATTATATTTAAAAAATATTATATACATTATTATGATTTAAATTGAAAGGTAATATTTAGCATTCCAAAAGAAAAGTGTGATTTTTATTTATACATATTAATTCATATTTTTTTCTAAATGACCCAACTTTTGGTAACTATTCATTTGAGCATATAATTAGTTTTTTTGTGATTATGAAATCTTGGGCAAGAGCAGAACATGTAAATTTGTCACAGCACCTTAGGCATTAAATATATTCATAGTGGTTGATTTTAATAAAACCCCAACTGCAAGGAAAATTTATGTAGATGTTATACTTGATTTTTCTTACATTATTTTATAATACAAATTCTTTTGAGTGTTTCATGCACTATATAAAACTTCCCTTCTTTACTCTAGAATGAATTTGCAGTGTTTTGCCATTGTGATTAGATCTTCCACAGATTTTATGTTTCTTATTATATATGCTTCACCTTTAATTTTGTGTACGTCATAATTTTTTTTTGGGGGGGGGGGGGCTTGTGGTGTCTTTTCAAATTTCAGTAAACTTTTTTGTATGCCATATTTTGTTATTTTTCTCAATAAATAACAAAAACTACATTTCTGATGTTATAAAACTTTTGAAAAATTTAGAATTTGTCACATTAAATTGATATTTCTAATTGTATCACCCTCAATATAGATTTGCTGATATATGATTGTATGTAATAGGATAAATGTGTGAAAAGTTATCAGATTTGTTTAATCTATCCATAGACCAGAGTGACAAAATTCAGAGCTACATGTCCATCCAGTTTACTACTGCTGTATTTAATATAATCATAACATGAGGAGACTGTTTATAAATGTATTAATTTTATGTGATTGGTGATATTTTGAGGTATGTATGTGTTTATAAACTTACTGGTTAATTATTAATAATCATTTTGGTCTTGATTGGAAAGTTACCTCGGATATTGAAAATTTCACCAGTTTTGTCACAGAGTTGAATCTATTTTACTTTACTCCTGTGATTCTCAACTGTAACAGCTAAAGAACAGAGAGAATTTATGTTACTTTAGTATTATCCAGTAAACTCGGATAAGTCTGAAAACAAGATCTGGATCTCTTATCTATAATGCTAGTATCCTGTAGGGAAAAAAAAAAAGTTGATTTTTGGATAATTTTATATTATCAATTAAGATATAAAAATTGAAAGCTTCAAGAATTTTCACTCTTTTTATGAAGAATCTATGGTTGTCATTTTAAACTACTTCTAACCTAAATTCCAAATACTAATATCAGTATCTTCATACAGAGATAATAGTTTTAAATATAGACATTTTCCTTTCTTGTTGGTGTGGTCTCAACTATTGACAAGTTGCTTGATTAATATTTTTAATTTTCATCTACAACCCAGTAATACACTTTTAAATTGCAACAACAGAAAACACAGAGTGGTTTTAAATAATTGACTCACTTAGAGGTGTACTTTATCTAGACCTAATGTCTATTTTAGAAACTACACTAGCAACTCGTGTGTGGCTTGTTGTCCTATACAAAACAGTCTGAAAATTTAACAAGTTAGATCCTTTGCTACAATTAAGTTTCACTATTAGTTTCATTTACCTGCTTTGTTTGAATTAATAGTTTTAAAGTCCAAAAGAACAAATAAAAGATTCTTCTTTACAAGCATTCAATTTTAAGTTACTTGCCATACTTAGATTACAATTAGTGCTCTTGATGATCATATACTAAACATAAATAAATTTCCTTGCATATTTACTAAGTTTAAGAGAATACAAACTTAAGCAGCAGTACTTGAGAAGTTTTTGTATGACTTATTAAATTTAAAGTTTACTACAACAAATATTTCTTTTTTTTCCATGTCTTCCTCCTGATACACAGAAGTCACTTTAAGATAATGCAATGTTTGTATTCCCATTTTATATTGGAATTCTATTGTGCTTTCAGTTACAAACTATTTTTTTTTTTACACTAACCATCCTCCTGTTGGTCAGCAGCAAGTTTATGTACTTATGATGCTAAATTCCAGGGTGTGAATAGTCCACTGTGAAGCTTTGTACTAAAACAAAAGCCCTAACACTTACCAGCTTAGACTTAAAAATATTACCCCCACCAAAAAACATTCTGATAACTCTTTCCAAATTATTATTATCAATTTGCAAGTCCCAGTTTTTTAGCAATTTTTCACACATACATTAGCATACCTACCAACTATTCAGGTTTTTCACCTTTCTAAATTATAATTCTTACCAAATAATTTCCTATTTTTAGTCATTTCCCATGTTTTTGCAAACTTCACTTGTTGTTAAGACTTTTTCAATGTTAAAAAAATCCAAACTTCTGTATTTGTTTAATTTGTAAATTGAATTTGTTAATTAAGGTAAATAAATAGGCAAAATTGTGAATTTATGTGATATTCAAGGTTTGGTAATATCGTGATTGCTAGTAAGTCATATAAATTGAAATGTAAATTTAATGGTAAATTTCAAATATTTAAAAACTTTAATAAACATCCTTAAAATGTACTTCAATTTTCAAAGACGTGTGAACCCTCCTCACAGTTTTGCCAATTGCTTAAATGCTGTGGATATTTAGAAAGTTAGTAGGTATGCATTAGTTGTTAATTACCATTCAATACTCAACATAGCTGATCAATTAGTGCTTCTGTGAACAAATTATAATCTGTAATTAGTTATTAATAAACCAGTACTTTATGTTGTTGATGTAAATCTTTAAATTTAAATGCATGTAAACTCATGCTCAAGTTGTATCAAATGCTACTGTATATTTTGCTGTACAGATGAACTGTATTAGATCAGAAATAAATATATTAAAACCTTTAGTTGTTGTTTTTGGAAAGCTAGTAACATACTATATTAGCTTTTAAGATGTATCTAATTTTCACTATTTTTATATGAATGATAAAATAAAATATAATCTATTAGCTGTAACTGAAATATTTCAGCCATAGACAACTATTAAAGGAGCAAGTAGAAGCCAAAGTATTCTCAGGAAGTCTATTATTAAGTACAGTAGTACTTAATTGTAGGGACTGACAAGGTTTTCAAATAATGAACATGCCAAATAACCACCCTGTTGAATTCCTAAGTGAAAAACTGAGCATACAAAGTATGCGTATATATGCTAAAAAGATCGCTAACATTTCCAATATAACAATTCAAAAATTTCTAAAACAGCAAGTTTTTCATGTACTACCTACCTACCTGATCACGTCAATGGGGCTAGCCCCTAGAAGGCTCAGAATACGCTACAACATTTCTCCAGCTTACTTGACTGGTCTGTGGGTATCTGCTTTTGATATCCAGATTTTTTTATAAATGGTAAACATATCAAGCACATACTTAAATATCCCTTCAACCCAACAGATGGTACTACATATTGATGGATAGACACGTGACAGTTTCTAAAGGTACGGTATACAGGTATAACATAAAAAGTAGAAAAACAAGAGTATTAAAAAATTAGGAATTTTAAAATGAAATAATCCTGCTACAAAAAGTACTGAAACAAAAATTAAAACCACAATCACAAATTTATAAAATTTAATCCCTACTTTGGCAGCTTTATATGCTTATCTGTAGGCCAAAGTAAGGATTACATTTTATAAGTTTGTGATTGTAGGTTTGATTTTTGTAAATGTTATAATTATCAGGGATATGACTATACTGAAAGTTTATAGATGTTGTGTCCATTCCATGGACATATAAAAACTGAACAAATAAATACGAAAAAAATTAAAATTTTAATGGAATACTTCTTATAGCAATTCTACAAATAACCAATGATCCCTACTTTCCATTAAAATTGTGATTTATTTTTTTGCTATTTATAAATAACGGAGATGCCACAACTCTGTCTTAACCTAGTTTTCTTACTAAACACAACTGGTGACAATGCTACCAGGTAGCATGTGTAAGGAATATGAGGATGATAAAGACATTTTGAATACATTAGTGGGAAAAACAGTTTTTACAAATGTTTATCAAAAAAAAGGTGAGATTACCACTTTGTACATTATATATGTAATTTTTAGAAAAAAAATCTAAAAGTTCAAATGACTTTAATGTTTTCTTTAACAAAGCAGAACTAACTGAACAAGACATTCATATCAACATGGCCCTGAATAAGTTGTCTAGTCATACACACACACATACATACATATATTAAACAGACAAACCTGTTCTGTGGTGGTTCACCATGCTCTTTGTTTGCTGATGCTTTCTTCTTTAGGATTGTCATGAGTGGTAGACCAGACACTTTAATTGAACAGCATTCTTTTTTTTTTTTCAATTCACAAATCTGTTATCTTCAAAATGCTCTTGACATAAATTAATAATTACTGTATAATTGTATTGGAACTTTCTTTAATAGTTTCTCCAGATGGGAGTTCTAAACTGTATTTATACAAGTATAATAATTTTTTTTTTAATTTTGTAAAGACATATAGGGGTCAATATATACATAACTTAGCTAGCTGTAGCAATATAGAAAATTTCATTGCTTTAAAAGTATTGAAACAAGAAATTCAAAACTACAAAAACTGAGTAACTTAACAATTTTTAAAAATGTATCCCTACTTTTGCAAATCACTGTAATTATGTTAGTCTGAGCCAAAGTAGGGATGAAAAATTAGCTATATTTTTGTGCATCAGCAATACCAAGCATGGGGTGCGCATATACCCAAGTTCATTTTATTACTCATCAGGATCTCTACCAACCTACACTCAAATCTGATTATATGCCCATAGTAGCACATCATCCATATTTATATATATATATATATATGCATATATCCACTAGTATCCTTCTCAGTACAGGAAATGAATCATTGGGACTCCAGATGGAAGAGTTCTATGAAAGAATTAGAGTGATACGGTTTGTCAATTTTTCTGTAGGCTTGTCTGGTAAAGTCACTTACCTAATTTGCTGAAATAGTAAAATTTAGCAATATTTTAAAATACTTGTTTTTGAATTTTGGCTGATCAACATAAAATTTAAATCAGTGGTAATCAAGTTTAATTGATTGGTTATTTTTTTAGGTTCACAACAGACCTCTAACTGCTGCATGACTATGACTTTGTGCCATCAAATCATAAGTTGAATGAAAATAAAATTAGATCCAATGAATAGAACTTAGGCCTATCCAATAATATATTATCCCTTCATTTTCAGCATAACTCTCATTATCTATTGACTCTTCATTTCTTTATCAAATGTTATGCTGAAGTCCACAAAGAAATAATATACCATAATTTAATTTGGCCAAGCATAAGAACGTTTTTCAAAAATACAAGCATATTAAATATTCATTACTGATTTTTTTATAGAATCCTTGGAAGTGTTCATTTCAGGCAGAGTGAGAAATGTCTTGAGGTGCTCCTTTTGTACTTTCATGCATCCTTTTAGGGTCACTAATCACTACATAGGTAAGCATCAAGTCCTGGAGAACCTCACATTATCTTATCAATCCAGTAGGCTTGTGCCCATGATATTTAATATAAAGTTATAGTTTTAAAAGCACTATAATTTAATACCACAGAAATCAGCAACCCTTTAAATTGCAGTTTTATATTATGTATACCAAAGAATCTGATTTTGATTAATATTTTGACTTATTTAACACTCAATGTCCACTGTAGATTTAAATTAATTAACTATTAAAAACTGCTGAACTAAAGGACTTAGGGATTCTAAGCATTTTCTCTGAACCTTTTTTTTCTTTCTTGTAACAAAAAAAAAACATCCAGTATAACATACTGTTACACGTATCATAAAAAAAGAAAGTTCAAATATAACTAAAATCATGAATAAGAAACACTGTGTTCATTTCATTGCAATAGATAGAAAATTGATTATTCTTGTGTGTTTTGATCACCAAATATTATATGAGATTCAATAAAAACATGTAGGAACATTTTGTAATAATTATTAATAACTACAATAATAAACTGATATACAGTAATGTACTGTAGGAATTTAATACAATGTGGTGTCTTGCTACAAGTGACATTAAAACTATTATGAACAAAAATTAAATATTATCCACTTAGGATTCCTTCTTACTGAGGAGAGGTGGTAAAAGCAGGATGAAACAAGCAAAAGATTGGGTTATCAAGCTTTCAATATCTTGCTGAAGAAAATGTCCATAAGTCTGCTGCATGTGTTAAGGGATTAAATAGTAAGAACACTACTGCTTGTCCAATAGAATAATGTATCTAGAATATGTTATTACCCCAAATTAAAGCTACTACCTCAAAAAGGTTTGACTTAGCCCAAGATTACAAACAAGGATTAGTGGTCTAACCTAGAAATTATTGAATACACCAATAATTAATAAACTAATGGTTTGGTAAAATAAGAATAACAACAAGAAACAGTATTTACACTTGTTTTTTAATTGTATATGATATACATATTGTTAAACATGATCTAGTTTAATCATCAAAAGTTAAAATACCAACTTATCATTGTTTACTTAGATGAAATTGCTACAGTTAAACTCAATAACCACTTGCCAAACTGATTTCATAAAATTAATATTCTAGCAGTACATGTTGTTAGTAAAAATGTAAAGCTTTGTTTAAAATTACATTTAACACATAATAGGCTCACAGATTCCATTTTATACCATGGTTCCCACACTTTGAGTTGACAAAATTACAGGACCAGTGAGCAGTTGTCGAGCACCTTTCAAGCTTATCAGTAACTAAATTAAACACATCATGCATAACTATCAGCTTATGTTGTTTTTTGTAATTAGAATGTTGTGAATTAATTGTTTTAATGCTGATGATGAAGTTCAAAATAATTCCAAAATGTCCATAATTAAACATGTTTTTTGATATTACTCTCTAATATTTATTATAATTCACCAATATCAAGTATAATTATTACATGCAGTGCATTTATGTTAATTATCTTAATATTTCAACAACTTGTTTTAGTAAATTCAGCCTTAGTTAATGCTCCATTTAGGTAATCATATAAATAAAACAATCATTAGCTAAAAAAAAGCTTCAATTTGTACAAACAGAAACTTTATCCCACTTCAGAAAATTATGCAAATGAAATCTGTTTGCATACATAAATTTCTCGAAGTGTGAAATATATGTTACAAATACTTCTAACAAGTGTTCTCAAGCTCCAGTATTCTATTCTAAATAACATATTCATACACAGACTGGTAAAAATGATTTCACAAGTTTTGTAACTTTCAAAGGATCACTGAATTTCTCATGCATCAATATTTTGTCTATTTACAAATAGTAGGACTTGCTACAAATGAGTCCAAACCTTGACTCATGAGTCTTCAAGTAAATAGGTTTATGCACAATACAGCGTGGTTATCTCAGCTAAAAAGATGTACTAAGATGACGCTAAGAAGCTTCAACCATCACCTTCTTTGGTTCCAATACTTTAGCCTTCCTAGCCATTTCTGGAACTGTAAATTGACAAAAACATGTGTGTAATACCTCTTACTATATTTCAAGAGTGTTTCACCATTCTTAGTAACCTTTATAAAATTAACAAATCTAGATTGTACTTGAAGTATTAGAACACTAACTCAAGACAAATTACATAACTCTTCACAAACACTACAAAACTAAAATATATGGTTTAGTCACAACCTGGAAACATTTTAAAATTAATAACTGAAATTTCTGAAGAAGATCAATGGTTAAAATACTGATGATGACTTCAAGTCTTTATACAATAATTTGTTTCCACACAAGGATTTAGTCATCACTTGTTTTTATATTTCATGAAATATCAGCAATTTGTGCCTTTCATATTTGACATGTACATATACATATATATATATATATGTGTGTGTGTGTGTGTGTGTGTGTGTGTGTGTGATGACATACTAACAAAATATTTCCTTACACTATTGAGTTGAATATCCAAGTGTTTATAAATATAAATGTGTTACATATATGTCTACTATGACAAACTAATAAAAATGTTTCTTGTACTACCCAGTTTAATATCCAACCTTATGAAACAGTACACAAAAAAAAAATTACCTTGAAAAATCCTGCACCTTTATCTTAATAATCTTTATATATTAATAAATAATACTTTAATCTAAGTTATGAAAACAGCTTGAAACAAATACTTCTGTCAAAAGATACTGTTGGACAACTACATGTTCTCTGGTTCTAAAATGAGAGTCAACAGACCTCTAATACTAAGATATGGGAACAAATAATTTAGCAGCAAGGTGATGATATGAGAAAGAACACTTTAACAGTTAAGTGCAGATGTCAAAAAGAATGCTTCAGCAGTTATGTTTACATATGATAATTAACAGTTTTCCACCAGTAACTCACAAGAATAAAAAGTGCTCTATCATTAAATACTAGAAATAAGCATTTCTTTAAAATTAAATTACAAGAATGATAAGTTTTTTAGTAGTAAGCCATGGTACTTAATAGTTTTCATATGGAAATGCACAGCTCTTTTGTAATAATCCACAAAAATAAAGTTATCTACAAATACTCCATACAAGTGAACAAATTTGATGACAAGGAATCCACTTCTTAGAAAATAAAGCTTGGAGACAGATTGAAGGGGTAGTGAAAAACTTCATTACAATCAAGTTTCTTTCACTATTCATTCAAGCCATCTTCAAACTTCTATACAAATGAACAGTTCTCTTCAGGTAAATCAAACGAATTATTAATTCTGTAGCAGTAAGTCACATAATTATATATATGTGTTGTTTTTGGGCTTAGGATTCTTCTACAGTAGGTGTCTGTGACATATTAACAATAAAATAATATATGTTCGGAACATGTTAAACATATGTACAATAAATTCTTCACACTATAGAGATTATAGGCATATCATAAACACTACATATATAGTTCTCTCCTTCTTATCAAAAGTCCACTTAGACCTATTCAATTACTTTAGAATTTCAGTTGACAAGCCGAACTATCTTCTCCATTACTATCGCACTAGTATTCTGTGTGATTTACCTACATTTGTTCTTTTTGTTAAAGTGCACTCAGGCTGATTCATTACTTTAAAACCACACTCTGATGGAATAAATTCATTTTCTTATTTCCTTTTCTACTGTTAGTCTTACTGTAACGTATTAAACATTAGGCCTATCACTTCTATATTAGTTAACCTCACAATGAACTTTTCCTTTTTTAACTTTACTTTCTTCTGCTATTATCTGTCTGCTTCTGTCTATTAACTTCCTGTCACCTTTGGTAAACTCCTGCTTCTGGTCAGCATTACTGGTTTAAAATTTAACTGGAATTTTCTTGAACTTGTAACTTATGCTACCTCCATGGGCTTCCATATACTGTTTTGCCAGCTTGATCATCTTGTCTATGTCTTTTGGTGCTCTCTCCTTTAGAAACAGTGACATGTCAGTTGAACACATGGTCATGAATTGTTCATGTAGTAATAAGTCTGTCAGTCCCTCAAAACTATTTTCACATATGGCCATGTGAGTCCATCTGGTGAAAAGTCGCTGCAGACGTGCCACAAACTGAAATACAGTTTCACCAGTGTCGGGTTTGACTCCTCTGAACTTTCAACAAAAACCTTCTTCAGTAAGTTCATATTATTTCAGTAAAGCTACTTTTAATTTGTCATAATCCATGGCATCTTCTGACATCATGCCTGCATATACTTGTAGGCCTTTTCCTGTGAGAAGTGAGCTGAGACAGACTGCTCAGTTGCATTTGTCCCAGTTCTAACTTTGGGCAAATCTTTCATATCTCTCCAGGAAAGCATCCATGTCATCTTTACGTTCATCAAATTTGGGCAGCTTAGGTCAGCTAGCCCTGACTTCATTGTCATTCTTGGGTCCTTCAGATGGGTGAGTTTTGCTATCTCAATTTGTGCTCTTATTCTTTCTATTTCTTGTCTCTCTCTCTCCTTTTTCATTTTCTTTTTTCTCAATTTGTATTCTACTTCTCTCTCTATTTCCAGCTTCTCCTCTCTCTCATTTTCTTCTCTTTCCTTTTCTTATTTTAGTCTTTCTTTTTTCTCAATTTGTCTCTTCTTCCTTCTATCTATCTGTTGGTCCCTCACTTTATATCCAACAAACTCCAGCACAGAATATCTAATGCCCTCACTCACTGGAACAGCTGACTAAGTCTCTTCAGATGGTCTTCCCATCTTGCAGTGTGTTTCAAATTGTCATCCACATAGTGCTCGATGTCGGTGGTGTTGTGCTGCATCCTCCTCAAAGTTCCTGCAGTAAAGGGTCTTTCTTCTGTGCTTCTATCAGTTCCTACAAACCTAAATTTGGGATGTTGCCTTTTGACACTTGCAGGGGCTTCATGTCTTGTTTTCCCTTCTTTTATTGAGCTCTGGTGGTAACAGCAGATGCTTTATCAATCTCCTTTCTGTCTAGTTCCTCCAAATTTCTATTACCTGGTATGTTTCCTATAACCAAGTCATATATTGGTTCCTTGATACACATGGCCTCAAGATCTCCTACATAATACGGAGTATCCACCTTTATTTTTGCTATGGGAAGCTTTCTCACTGTCCCATCAGTTAGCACACAGGCGTACCTTGCCTGTCATTTGATCATTGGATACTAAACTGGTTCTCACTGCTGCACTACTGCACCCAGTGTGTCTCAGAACCTTCACTTTCTTGTCCCCAACATAGCCTTCAAAAATTGGCTTATAATGATTTGTTGGCACCTCTTGATATTTGTCACATGCTCACATTACTATTGGTACTGTTGATGATTGATAATTTCCGACCATTAGTCATGCACCAATCAATCATGCTTTCTTGTATTGAATTTGACAAGTAGTCATGATTCTCTTTCCTTTGGCAGCAGCATCCATACTGCCAGTCACTCTTTTCTTGATTCTTACCAGCACTGTCTTTGTAAGTAGCTTCAGCTGCTTTATGTTGAGACTTCTGCTGTTGTTTGCTGCTAATGGACTTGCACTCCTTTGCAATGTGTCCCATTTTATAACAAACATAGCATCTCTGTGCTTCCTTCTATATTCTCAATGTCAATGTATTGCACATGATATTCAACAGTCTCAACATGAATGAATTATTAATAAAACTACCTACAATCATCTGCTTTTAACTCTTATTATAACAAAAACTAAACAATAATATATATTCACTAACAAAACTAAATTAATCGATAATATCAAAAGTAAACAGTCTTTTATATCATGACAAGAAGTATGAGTATTGAACAGTGATCCCTATAGTTTTCTATTAGAAAAATTTAAGAATAAACAGCTTCCCAGTTGTATGGTTTAGGAATATGATTTTAAAGCAACACACTAAGTCTTAACCAGTTTTTTATCAGCAAGAATAGAACTGTTCAGTTTAAAGCATAATATAGCATTGATTACTTTTCATCACTATTATCTACAATTAAGCTCCTTTTTTGCAGAATGTTTTAAAACAGAGCAATTCTCTAGCAGCATGTTTTCAGATTCAGCAGTTATCTAAGGTATAACATCTAGTGCAATAATTTGGAAAGAAACAATTTAAGGTCAGCATTACTTGATAACAAGTTTTTCAAATTACTTGTTCCAAATCTCGACAATAAAAACTTGAAGAATGATACAAAAATCAGAAAGACCAACCTTCTGGTTCTTCAACTGGAACTTCTGGTAATGAAATTTCTTCTTCTTTAGCTTCAACTGGAGCCTCTGGTAAGCTTTCTTCTATAATAGCATCAAGTTCAGCAGAAATAGCCTCTTCATCTTCTTGAGTAAAACCTTCCCCAAGTAATTCATCTATCTCCTAAAAGTTGATATTACAAAGTTAAACTAGAATTAATAATATATCAGTTACTACTTGAAAATAATAAGACAAAATGATGACTGAATATGTTGAATAAATATTCACATAAAACTTAAGTCATAAATTTTACTAACTGAAGGCAAAACAAAACACAAATTGCAAAAAACAGTGATTATTTTGAGCTATGCAGCATTTATCATTTCTTATTAGATATTTCTTAAGGCCAGTCTTTCATAAGCAAGATAAATAAAAAATTTGGGAATTTAAAAACCTGCAAATAGGGATAAAAAAAAGTAAGAATACAAGGCTTGAGATACTATACACATTATTTACTCAAACTACAAACTTCTATTTTGGCTCCATGTTGTTACCTAGAATTACATTTGGTGGAGTCAAAATAGGGACTCAAGTAGGCAGCTTGAGTAAATAATGTCTACAATATAATCAGCCTTGTTTTCTTACTTTCTTACAATCCCGATTTGAAGGTATTTGGTTTGGTTTGTTTTGAATTTCACACAAAGCTACACATGGGCTACATGTGCTAGCTGTACCTGATTTAGCAATGAAAGACTAGAGGGAAAGCAGCTAGTCATCACCAACTCTTGGGTTACTCTTTTACTAACGAATAGTGGGATTGACCATCACATTATAATGCTCCCATGGCTGAGAGGGTGAGCATGTTTAGCGTAACGGGGAACCAAACTTGCAAATGGCAGATTGCAAGTGGAGTACCTTAATCACCATGAAATTATGAAATTTACAATAGTTATTGACTATTTGCTCAAGATGTAAAATGTTAAGCTCCAGTTGGAGATTTGTTTGAGATTATAGCAAGCATTTATAGTTTCTGTGTAACTAAATTCTCTATATATAATGCATAGCAATGGGCAAATATATGCCTACACTGAGACACACAACCCCCACTTAGCACATATAAAATTTTACCAGTACAAAAGCAGCCTTTTCAAATAAAACATATACATCTAAAACACTGCTTTAAATAAATCTTTGTATCTTTTAAAGTAATTATTCTACGAATGTATGTAATGAAATTTAATATTATGTCTATTGATTTTTTTTTTTACTCCTTCACTTCATACATAATATAGGGGTTTGCTTCTTAAAGACACTGATTACAATAGTGTACAAAGCATTGAGTATAAACATGTTACAGTCATCTAATGTTTATCTATTATTGGTTGGTAATTCCTGTTTCACCCTGTATTTTAGCTTTTCAAAGGAAAACCAGATATTTGTAAGAAAGCTAATTTCAAGGGGTAATGATAACATCGTTTACACAAGAAATTATGGTGATTTTTTAGCTTATGTAAAATATAGAAGAATCAAATTGACTATTTAATAGCCCTAAGACTTTCACAGTACCTTATTTAGTATTGTACAAAAGGTTTGGGTACAATATACAAAGCCATTTTGAGCATATTTTCTTTTCCTTGTAAGTCTAATATGTATGCTTTATTTGTGCATTTTTATATGTGTACAGCCTTAGCAGTCAACAATAAAGGTTTTGAAGTATTGTTTGAACTGATTCTTTACTGTTTAAGGTGCTTTTTGCTTGAATGTTCTACTAGGATTTTTTGCAACTCCTACTATGAACCAATATCGTGGTTAATGATAGATACACACACCTGATAAAATTTGAATTGTATGAGGCTTATAACAAAACACTTACTTTCTGTTTTTCAATTCCTTCTCTGGTTTCATCCAAGATCTTTTCTACATCTTCTACTGATATAAGCTATTAGGAATAATAAATATCAGACTTCTTAGTGTGCGTGTGTGTGTAAGCTTAAACATTAAAATTGAAAATTATATATTTATATCTTTTCAGCGTGACTTTATAAATATTACTGTAGAAATAAAAAGTTCATACCTAACCTTCAATACTGTAAAAAATGGTAGTGAACAACTTATGAAATCAATGCTGTAGAAACAAGCAAATGAATAACCTATGTATTTGATGCTGTATACACATTGTACTACATAATACATGGATTCAATGTTCACAACTTGTGAGTGGATAAATTATCAATTCAGTGCTGTAAATTCATGCTAGTGAACAACTTATCTTGTAAATACAGATCTGTGAATAAGTTATAGCTGACGATATACACATTCAAGTGGGAAACATTCAATGTTGGAGATACAGACATATGGATAAGCTTTGGCTGTCATTATACACATTCATTGGGTAACATTCAGTATTGTATATACATATGGATAACTAATAGCTGAAAATATATACATTGAAATGGGTAACATTCAATATTGTAGACAGGTTTCAAATGGATAAGTTTTGGTTCACATTATATACATTCAAGAGGGTAACATTCAGTGTTGTACATACAGACATACGGATAAGTTTTGGTTGACATTATACACATTCAAGAGGGTAACATTCAATGTTGTAGAATGGTTTTATATGCCTAATTAAGCAAAAAATTGCAGAACATCAACAATTTTCCAGGATGGAAGTATCTCCTTTCCAGGACCCAAAAACATCAATTATCAAAACCTCAATCATATGGTTTACAAGAAGCAAAAATTGGATTATCCATGGACTTGTACATACATTAGTAGAAATGATTGATATTGTGAACTATTAGGTCGTCAAGAAATTAATGTCACTTTTTTTGTAGATGAAAAAACCCGAACAACTTATATATCAAAGATATGTCTAAAGATTTCTGCATTGACAGTTCGCTGTGGATTGATGAGTTAGAAATGAATTAC